TTTTCTGGAATAATTCATAAGAAATGATTACATATCTTTGGAGATAGTGAAGTGGGGAGGGAAGCAGGAGACGTTTTCATTTAACCTTGTACCTGTCTGTGTATAATCTTACTACACATATTGCTATTTTTTAAGACCTCAACAAGGGTTGACTGAGAGTGAGACTATGGACCTTTTTTCTATAGTAATACTTTATTTAGAAAATAATAACTTGTAAAGGTAATATAAAAATGGCTATGGCTAGTATTGGCAAATGTATCAAGTTTCTTATGGACAGTGACAGTAAAAAAAAAAAAAATCTAGCTTTGCTTAGATAAGTAAAACTAATAAAGCCTTCACTCCTACAAATATATTTTTCAAAATAGAACATTTTCTAGTATATTCATGTGATAATTTTGTAGTTGTTAGTCTTTAACCCTTGATTGTATTTTCCTTTCAGAAATTTTACCTGCTCAGGAATGGAAACCTCCTCTTCCAGCTTATGATTTTCTGAGTATGATGGATGCTGCATCTCAATATCCCACTAGGAAAGTTCCTGAGTGTATGAAACAAACAGATGTGCAGGAGAATGATAAGGAACAACATGAAGATAAATCAGCAACCAGAAAACAACCGGTTGAAGCACTGAGAATAAAGCATTGGAATAGAAGCAATTGGTTTAAAGAAGCAGAAAAGTCGTTCAGACGTGACAAAGAGTTATGATGCTCACAAGGGAGCTGATTTCATAGGACTGTGCTTTCCAAGATCTTTTTGGCTTGGCCAACTTAAGAATTTATTTCATTAAAGAATAATAATCATTTCAAGTTTCTAGACTAGTGCCGCCCCATAGAATTATAATGCAAGTCACATATGTAATTTAAAATTTTCTAGTAGCTACATTAAACAAAGTAAAAATGAGCAGGTGAAATTAATTTTACTATTTTGCCCAGTCAGTATACCTGAAATAGCTCAATTAATATAAAAATTACTGAGATATTTTACATTCTTTATTCATAGCAACTCTTCAAAATGCAGTGCATATTTTATACCTACTGCATTTATCACTTTGGAGTAGCCAGATATCAAGTGCTCATTGGCCACATGTGGCCTGTGATTACTGTATTGGACAGCTCAGTACTAGACAAAACTAGTGTAATTTACTTCTAGCTGTGATATGTATTTTGATTAAAATAAAAATGTACCTCTAGTTTAATTACAGTTGACTCCATAGCGGAGTTATACAGCTGGTGGTTATATTTGTTTTATTGTAGTCATGATGTTAAAACCAGTGTTTCTCAAACAGGGCAGTTCCCCCCGGCCCCTCAACGCAGGGATATTTGGCAATGTCAAGAGACATTTTTAATGTCATGGCTAGGGGTACTACTGGCATCTAGTAGGTAGAGACCATGGATGCTACTAAATACCATACGTTGGATAGCCCCCTACAACAAAGAATTATCCTGCCCAAAATGTCAGTAGTGTCAAGGTTGAGTAACCCTGGGTTAAACTAACCTGTGGAAGACTGAGCTCCTGAATCTTCTGGTTCTGCTCAATTATCATGTTTGAAAAAATCTTAGATATTAAAGATAAGCATTAAGTGGTCTTATTTTGATTATCAGGACACACCTTTTTCTATTAAATAAGTTTTTATAATATTTTCAAAAAGTGATGAGTTAACCCTAAAAGAGGACTCCGAGTGATATATATATTTTAAGGGAGTCTTAAAACCTATTATTTCTACAAGTTACATGACTGAATTTCGGATTGAACAGGAATTCAACATTCTGCCATCTCCTCAAAAAAGAGAGGCTCCTTCTTCTGAACCATGTCTGAAATCTATCCTTGTAAGCTTTAGACAAATCAAAATGGTCTCCCTGGGCCATAGGGCCTCATCTACATAACAAGAGGGCCAGATTAGCCAAAAAAAAATTATTTTTTTCATTCTAAATCATTTGTTAGACTGATCTGTTTGTGGCAGTTGTTTTGTCTCATTTTTGTTCTGTGCATTTTTTGAGACATTTGATGAGAGATATCTTGGTGCTCTACTGTATTTCTCCTCCTAATATCTACTTGGATTATCTTGTTCTTTAAATTTTTTCCATGTATGATATGCCTAGTACAACTGAATTTCTTAACTGGAATTTTAAAAATCATAAACAGCTAAATTTCAATAAATGCATATATTTTATTGTAACATAGACCATTTGCTGCTACTCTCAACACCCTCTTCTCGATTTTTTTTTCCTGTAGCATGTTATACCTTATTAATTCAGTTCATTCTCATTTCCTTTTATTTCTAGCATGGGAGACAATGAGAGTAAACTCTAAATATAGTTTGTAGTAATAAAACATCAGCCTAATCATTAGAAAACACTGATTAACTACAAGCACATAAAAACATGAAATTGATTAGTCATTGTACCATAAC